AGACCTGTTCTGTTTTTCAATGTACAGGTGTCTCTCCTTGTGGTTGTTAATACAGGTATCATAGTCAGAATATCATAGGTATCATAGATGGACATGCGACTGTAATATTATCTCGCCAACTCCTTCTGATATTATGGTTACAAAACAATTTATCTTATGTGTAAAACCAAAAATCTAGTTGTAAGTCACAGTACATAAAACTTTCTGGTTTCTTTCTGGCAACAGGTATCAGGAAAAGAAGGGAATCAGAGCTAAGCAGAAAGAGGAGATCAGGTAAGGCTTTGTCAATTTTCAACTTGAATTATGATTCTTTTTCAAATCACACAAAACATTAATAATAGTATTAAAAAGACTCCCTGTCATGGACCCGGTTCTGGAGGAGCAGGATGCACCATTATTATTATTATTATTAGTAGTAGTAGTATTATTATTATTAGTAGTAGTAGTAGTAGTATTAGTGTTGTTGTTGTTGTTATTTGGGGATGTGTGTTTTTCTGCACTATGCTGTGTTCGGTGTTCCACTCATATGTAGAGGCAGGGTGTGTACATGTGTGGCTGGAGGACAGCCACATGCAGGCCTGATGGGTGTGGCCCTGCAGGAGGACTGGCCACGTTCCTGCCACACCTGTTGGTGATCAGGGCTCGTCGGGGGAGCTACTTAGGAGAGTGTTGGAGCTCCCACCGGCGTGGGATCATTGAGTTATCCTACCAAGTTAGTGTGTGGCAGCATATGTCAGTGCTGTTCGTGTATGCCCGCCAGAGTTAGTGTTGATGGCTGCTTCTATGGTTTTCCTGCAGGAGGAAGAGTGGTCCAGAAAGGCAGCACGCACGGGGTATGTGGAAACACAACAGCGGGGAGCACGAGCACGAACACAGACGTCGGAGGGAAGCACACACACGGGATTCAAGGGAACAACGGGGAGTTATTGTATTTACAGCTTCTCACTGTAGATAAAGAGCACTGTTTGCATCGCAGAGTCTGCGTTTTGGGTCCTCATTCCCCATATCCCCACGGTCTGCCTGCCAGACCGTGACACTCCCATTTTTACTGCCATTTACAGGTGTAAAGAACAAAGTGCCCTCTGACAGATTCATCACTTTCCCAAATCAAACTTCCCCCCTAATTCATACCTTTCTGATACTCAAAGGTACCAAGGTAAGCAAAAGCACTATAACATTATGAAACACTGACATCTCACTTAGATATTTTAGTCTCTTCATTGAAGTGAATGTTTTCTCTCTAAAAGCTGAAATATTACCATTTTTATATGTATGCACGCAATTCAAATCAAAGAAAAAGATGAAAGCCTAAGTTTCCATATGTCTCTGTTAGAGGAGTATATTGTATTTAGCTCAAGAAGTTACTACAGGAATACCAAGAAATCACAACATGGCTGTAAAACCATCTGCAAAATATTGTATAGGACCGCTCTTACGCTGCCTGAACACTTCTGACCCATTGGAGTGTGAACAAGGGAACTGTGGGGGCGTCCTGTAGTGTCTGGCAATGGGAAATTGGATCCTGCGTGTTCCAGGGTGGGGTCTGTGTGGATCAGGGTTATTACAGCATATCCCAGGGATGCTTGATTATTAGCTGGGGAGTTTGGAGGCCAGGTGAACATATTTAGCTGCTGGAGGGGGTTGCTTTCTTTTTCACGGGGCTATGTGTTTAATGCAAGATTGTTTAGGTGTGCAAAGGTTGTTAAGTATGAAACAAGAGGACCACAAGGAAGATTCATGCATGCACTGAAGAAGGATATGCAGAGGGTGACATAAGAGCATGGTAGGGATAAGTTGAGATTGAGGGAGATTATCAGATGTGGTGACTTCTTAAGGGAGCAGAAAACAGAGGAATAATAATACTTTCTGTTAAAAGGAAAGCAGGTACCCACCTTTTAAACCAGTAGCATGGAATACTTGGAAGGGCAAATCTTCAGAATAAATAAAATAGTGTTCATTTAGTGTGTGAAGTCAACAAAACCCACTTAATCCATAAGTTCTATCAATATATTTATTAAACCATTTATGCTTCCCATTAAGAGAAAAAAAAATATTGCTTTAGATGTAGCCTTTCCCAGTCATGTCCTTTTTTCCCCAATCAACACTAGATGGAGCTAAATGACATAGGTGAGACACAAATGCACTGATCCTAATACAGTAACACAGTTTCCAAAAATGCTCTGACTTCTGCAAACTTCTGTCCAGGACTTAAAAATTAATTATTAATAGAACTGAATTTATCTAAGTATTAGTTTTGCTAACATAATAGAACACACTATCTGGCCACTTCATTAGGTTCTGCTTCGGATTACACAAATATCTAATGGGCCATTTATATGGCAGTAACTTAAAGCATTTACGTAACCTGTGTAAATGAGAATCAGGTAACTATCAATATTAAATCAAGTAACTACTCGTTAGAATCAAGGTATGCAGACAAGCATCTCTGAATTCACAACATATCCAGCCTTGAAGAAGATGTAACAACTACTTGTGTCTGCTAAGAACAGGAGCTTGAGGATACTATTCACAGAGGCTCACCAAAATTAGAGAGAAGACTGGAAAAAGTTGCCTGGTCTGATGAGTCCTGATTTCAGCTGAGCGACTCAGATGGTAGGGCCAGAATTTCATATAAACATGAACGCATAGATCCATCCTGGCTTGTATCAAAAGCTCATGATGATGTTGGTGGTATACTGGTGTGGGCCATCTCTTTATTACTACCCATCCTGTGATGGCTACTTCCAGCTGACAACACACAATTTTACAATGTTCCTATTATCACAAACTGGTGTCTTGAACATAACAATTAGTTCACTCAGATGGCCTTCACAGTCACCAGATCCTAATCCAATAGAGCATCTTTGAAATGTGGTGGATTGGGAGATTTCCGTCAGGGATGTGCAACTTACAAATCTGCTATCATGTCAATATGGACCAGGATCTCTGAGGAATATTTCCAGCATCTTGCTGAATCTATGCCATAAAGAATTAAAACTGTTCTGAATGAAGGAGGAGGAGGGGGGAGGGGGTCAGGTACAGTACTAGAAAAGTGTAACTAAGCAAGTTTTCATCAACTTGTACTTCTAATTTTGCCTTCACACCCTCGGTCTGAAGTCTGGAAATGCTGGCACTACTTGCATTCATGTCAGAATACAGTCACTTGACAGAGCATGCAGTCAGACGCTGTCTACTACTCTCCTCAGAAAGGACATTTCTTCCGGTTCATTTACCCAAGACGAACAAAAGGAAGACTGCATGCGGTGTGTGTACAACCAGTTAGTCCCCCACAGTCTGTTTGAGCACCAGCTTCCAAAATAAATCATTTTAAATCCACCCCTCTCAGCTTGTAACTTCCAGCAATTGTTCATCAGGAGACTTATCTGTTGCACTGTTAGCCCAAAGGGAATGTCTCCCTTTTTAAAAGCTTAAATATGGAAACAAACTAAGAAAATTAGAGTTGCAATTTTATACACTTTACAAGTTATTGCTCCCTTACAATGCATGAGCTAATAGTTTATCATCTAATAATAAAATGTTCAATTCTTGCTTCCCAAATTTCCCAAAGTGAAATTCCTGCAGTCATAATCTAAAAATTGGTAGAAATAAATCAGTGCAGCCTTCAATCTGATGTTTCCTTTTCGAAAGAAATCACGAGAGAGAGCAATAACTTGTCTGTAGCTTCTCTTTCTTTGGCTGATAGTGACTTAAAGTACTGATAGTGGGCAGGAAATTGCGGAATTCTTTAGTTGTGACAGTGTGGTCTCAAACTCCCAGATAGCATAAGGATTACCAGCATTGGAATGGCCAAGTTTCCAATGTTCTCATGTACCACATCACAGTTCTCCTGCTATAGGTCGGAAAATTGGTTTACATTGCATTTCAGTTTGCCTCGTGTATCACCTTTAGCACACAACACTACTTCCGATCCAGAGCCAAAATGGTAGCTGTGGATTCCTGTTGTGGGCGGAAAGGTGAGGGCAGGATGTTCTTATTTACAATGCCTGCTAGTATGACCTGCAACAGCAAAGTGATTGTTGTTGTGATAAAAAGAAAACAGTCTGCGGCATATCCACACACTGCAGGGTACGGCCGGACAAAAGAAGATTATTTACATTGATATAAAAAGAAGCGCATCCTGTTTCTGACGTTAAAAATAAATCCAACAAATGTTTATTCTGCAAACTTGGGCAGATAGATTCAAGCTGATATCACAGTGATTGTTTGCACTGCATTGTTTTGTTTTTCTCTCCAGTCAAGATAAATGCAATTACCTTTAACCTCAGGTACACAGGTTGATTTTTATCAGTGTTGCACACAAAGGTCAGTTAAGTAAATAAATACATAGCGTGCTAATTTATTTTATAATTAAAAATTGCAAAATATGTAATGAACCAATATTAACAAGAGCTTTAACTAAAGCAGACCGCTTTTAATCAACAACATTTGGGCACAACAGCCTTTCAGTTATGGCAGTTGGGATGTTGAAATTCCTTAACACTAAGAGAGTACAGTGTGATAGTGGATAAAAAGTCAAAGATAAGAGACTTCGTGCACCAGAAGATTTTATTTCAGAAAGAAATTGAGACGGTTTATGCTTCTGAAGAGCATCTGCTCCCTACTAATAGGTGATTGAAGAACTCCCTTTAAAGGTTTGTGAATTTAATTTGAAAACATACTCATTAAGACTCTAAGGTAGCTCAGTATCTCTAGTGTCTAAGGGAGCTTCTGCCAGGTATAAAAAACTGAGTGGAGTTTCCTAAACGATAAGATACGTGCAATCACTGCGTTTCTGTTGCATCTTTTCCCCCCCTGCACAGTTATAGTGGGAATAACTCAGAACAATGACTTACTGTTCCCCCTCAGTAGCTAAAATTAAGAAGTCGCCCCCTCCTCCCCCATCCTACCCCTCCTCAACAAAAGTGACGTCGCGTCCTCGGTCTGTGTGTGGCTCCATAAAACGTGTCACGTCTGGACGGCACTGTAAGTGTTGCACAGAGGCGATAGGGAGGAGATACAGTGGGTACAAGGCGCAGGAGCTCATTCATCTCGTTCTTGAGTCCAAACACAGCACCAGAGCTGAAGTACTTTTCACTTCAACTTTTTTATTTTACCGCCGATTCAATTTCCTTCACTTAACTTTTTTTCCCCCTTTTACTACTTTTGCACCTGCCCAGAGGATAGCGGTGCATCCGACCCGCCTCCTCAGTGCGCCGGTGCCGGGAGTTGGACTGCCGAGCAGCGCAGGAGAGCTCCCCCGCGAATCGCGTGCAGGCATATGGGAGAATTACTGCTGCTTTGTCCTTGCGCACCTGAACCTTTTGGGGATTCATGAAAGGCGTTTTAAAGGCCAATTAAGACTCGCAGTCAGCTGGAATTTAAAGAGACAAACAGGGACTCGATTGCATTTATTTTTATAACGAGGTTTGCACTTTGGGCAAGTTCGCAGGATGGCCCCACCTGACTGCTTCAACCAGGTCGCTGTCATCTTGTGTTTTTTATCTCTAACATTAGGTGAGTCATTCATGTTTATATACACCAGATATTTACGAGTGAAAGAACAGACTTTCTGATTGTTAATTCCTTTCAGTGAATGAAAGACTGATTGCATAATATTTAAAAACACGAGATATATATATATATATATATATGCCAATTTTTACAATAAAATTTTTTAGCATTATTTTTCTTTTTTATAGTAATTTAAATTCCTCCGGTGTTTAATTGACCTGCAACCAAGAGCTGATTTTGTTGGCGGGTTATTCTTTGATCCCAGCTGCAGTGTAAAATGATTTCGTGTATGGATATGACCGCAGATTATTTGCACATTTTCGAAGATCACGCGCCAACTGAAAAAAAAAAAAATCATCATTCTGCAATTTTCACACAAGCCCCTAGAGGTCGTCTGTCGCTATTGTCACTGGGAGATTATTAGTACGGTAAAATGCGTTGATTCATAACAGGCGATTAGTCGGGCTCTATATTTTAATATGATTGGATTTACTGATATGAGTAAATGGTCTATTTGAATGGTCTATTTTTGTGTGCTTTCTTAGATACTTTGAATATTTTGCATGTCAGTACTTTGTTATAAATTATGAAAGGAAAGGTTCCTGCAATTGTTATGTGTGCGTGGACAGGATTAAACATTTTGCCATGTTTTATCTGACAGTCCTGTCAACTCCATTGTCTCAGTCTCACTCCACAAAACCTGAGTAAATCTGGGATGTTCCTTCACCTTGTGCCAGGTCCAGTGTGTAACAGAGATACAAACTGAGGCTTCCTCACCACTTCAAAATAAACAGCCCATCCAAACAAAGGAAATACTGTTCACATTCAACCTCTTTTACTGAACACACACACACACACACACACACACACACACACACACACTGTGTTTTTGAGTAGGTTTCCTTCACTGTCCACTCACAAAGCGTGGGAAAGACGCAAAGAGGAGGAAGCGGATGTAGGGACAAGAGAGGCAGCCTGGAATTGTTCTGGCTAGTAAAGGTCACGGAAATGTGACACGCTACCTGAGCAAAGATTTCTTCCCGGAGCTCCTTGTGCTCACGTTCAACTATGTCAAACTTCATCCACGAGACAATAGCAAGGAGGAAAGGGGCTATTGTTTCAGTACAGGAGCCACTGACTGGTAGAGACATTAGTTACTGATGGTCGTCAAGGTGTCTCTGTTTATTCAGAGATGTGTAAGATGTTTTTTTCTGGTGAACAGCTGTGAGAATGTCACGGTGTCATCGTTAACTAAGCAAAGTTATAAGTTACGGAGTGATGCGCAAGCATTCGACTGGGTTATTATTACACAACATCCACCTATATCCCAGTAATTTTAAAGATGGCTTAGAGTGAAAAGGAAAAAAACTGTATTTGCTGATTTCTTAATTATTGACTTGCAGCTGCTTCTTATTCGAAATGAGCACAGGTTACATATGTTCGTTCTGACCTTTTGACACCAATTTAACTGAAGCGTAACAGCTCACACAAATGTCAGCAAGATAATCTTTTTTCAGCGGACCCTTCTGGATGTCACTTGAGATGTGATGCTTGTAGGAATATTCATACAATGGAGTTTGCCTTTAAATATAATGATATATATATAATTAAAATGATCACTTGTGTTGGACTGATTCTTTTATTCTGGGTTCTGAGTTACATTTTAGGAAATTTTAGGAAAGAAAATTGCCATGAAAGTTATAACTGACACATCAGTGACTAAGGAGATGGGTGAAATGGAAAGTGGAAGCTGTCCTTTTATTGTTACTTATCATATACAACACTCTCTTTGTCAGTTCTTTCTTTTTCCTGCGGTGTAGACAGTCCTGTGATGAGAGGGGTTGATGTTGTGTCTAATTTGTACCAGAGTATTTTTTTCTTCCCTGCTTGGTCGCTTGAGGACTGTAAAATGGGAGTGATGAGAGGTCAGCCAAGTGCAGTGGGGGCTCATTGCTCACTGGCAGTACATCTGGGTTCATGCAGGCAAGAAAAACACATCCTCACACACACACACACACACTCACCTGGAGTGGAAGATTTACCAGTAGAGCAGAAAACGTCATTCCCCTACACTGGGATATTCAGCTTAACAAATTGAACTGTGTTGCTTTTCTGGATTATTCCAGCATCTGTTCCATGCTAGACCTATCCACCTCGAACCAGCAATATATTTTCTTTGAATCCTGCATGGGATTTCGATTTCAAGGAGCTTCTGTCTGCCTCTTAGTCTTAATCATACATTATAGAACAGGAATCCTCTGGGTTTACTATTTAGGAGTCTCATGCAGGAGAACCCTCTTTGTTGGCTCTACACAGCTTTATATAACCTAGAGTGGCCACCCATCACGGCCAGATGTTCCTTTATTTTGTTTTGTTTTTGGGGTTTTTTTAGAGGAGTCTGGGTCATTTTGCCTCCAAACCTCTAAAGGCTTATACACGCCTAATAAAAAAGGCTTTCTCTGTAACTGTTGTCTTAACCTTGCAGTTGGCAAAGTGTAAGGTTTTTGTAGGGCTCTGCATGTGAGAATCTTCCAGGACACAAGTAGCACAGCCAGAGCACTGTTAGCTGGTTCTTATTAGGGCAGGTGGTCAAGTCTTGTCAAAGGTTTGATAAAGTTTGTCTTGAATATTTTGTCAGTCTAACTTGCAGTGAACTGTCACGGACACTTTTGCAGCAGGACAGCAGCGTGACCCCGAGAAGGTGCGATGTTTAGACCGCCCAAACTCAGATTTGAAGGATACAGATCAAGCTTAGCTTTTAAGTCCAGCTTCTTAACAGATGACAGTAGGATCGTATCCCCCTGGAAGGTAATTTCACTATATCGTTGAGAGAAAATGCAAAAACGGGTTAGTGAATAGTGTATTGCATTTGTTTTACAATAGCTACCATAGCACTATCCATGACAGACTATTCACTACTGTTTCACTCTGTTTGCCAGGGTCACAGTATGGCAAATCCTTCCTCGCCCCCTTCCACTTTTTGTTTGGATATTGATCAGGTTTATTCTTTTAGTCCGGCTTCATAGCAGATGACAGAGTAGTATCATATACCATTTAAAGTACTTTTAACATATAATTGAGAGAAAGTATAAAAATAAGTTAGTGTGTAGTAGGTTTGTTTACATAAACTACCAGTGCGCTATCGTAAAATCTCATCGCAGAGACTGTTCACTATTGTTTCAGTCCATCGTCAAGGTCACAGTACAGCAAAGGTGACTCATTTACTTTGTAATTCTCACTTCTCCCCCCCATCTAATTTTGTGACAGCAGAAGGGCAAAGGATAAAGTGGCAATGATACTCAAAGGAATCATTGTGCCCTATTCCCAAAAATGATTTTCTCCCTCGAGTCTTAAGACATTCGTGCCGTCTGATGATGGGACGGGAAGTACAGGGAGGTGAAGTGTGCCCTCTGCAAAACTGAAGGGAATTCCGCGCATTATTCCTCGCGCTTTAGGGGCTGTGACTTGGAGTTTCCTTTTCGGTTCAGTGACAGTACAGTCATCTGATACAGTAATTTTTTTTTTAATTATTACACAACATCACCAATGAGCTACTGGCAGCATGCTGGTGGCATTTATATCACTTTTCTATTTAGCTTTATGTATTTTTTTTTTAATTTGTAGTTTTGTAGTGTTTTAAGGTGTTTGTAGTCACTGAATTTTTTTAGGAGTTGTGCTCAAAGTATCTTATTAAACACAAAGAGTATATGCTTTCTCTCAGGTCAGGAACATAACTAACAAGTATCATTCAAGATCCTTTGACAAAATATGGCTAAGCAGAGCATACATAGGCCATTATTTTCCATTGCAATGCTGAAAATCTGAATCATTTAGTCTCAGTCTCAGCCATTGTTTGGCCGTTCTTTCAGACTAAATATTTAATTATTTTCATGACCACAGACATTTCTATTGAAAAAAATCCTGAAATCCATGCTGTTCAAAATTTTTGTCTGTATTTCCTGACCATTTGTCTTTTCCAAACACAGTGTCCTGTGCCATTTCCTTTAACCAATGCCAACCGACAAAGACACAAAAATGTGATTCTGGTCTAATCTTAGCTAACCTGGCTCTGTGTCAGCAACCAGCTTGATGCTGTGTGAGTCAATCGAGATCATGCAAGTGAAAAAACTAAAGCAGAAGTCAGTCGGCCTCTCGCACCCTCCCTGACTCCCTCTCTGTTTGTTCCATGCCTGTCCTCTTTGTAATGGCTTTTAATGAGAACCAGCTTTGGGGCTCTTTGAACCAACTCAATATGAACAATTTCTGGCATTTTTCAGGCGATCTCCTGAAGGAATGCAGGGCACAGCTGTTGCAGGGGGTTAGGGTTGTCAGGATGCTAGCTAAGGTCAGTTCTGGGCAGATGGGAGTTTTGAGGATGGGTGTGTAGACAAGACAATGTTTTTTTCCTCTCTTCTCTTGTCTTTTTTTTTAATGGGCTGCTGGGGGCCCCTGCTGGTTCACCCATCTGTAGTGCATTACTGAAGAGAAGGGCATAAAAAATGTGCTAGTTTTAAAAGATAAGCGTTCTGCCCGTGCAATTCAAGGTCAAGATGATGATTCTGGGTATGCTGTGGGACTTAAGCATTTATGCATGGGATGTATTTGTAACAGAGTCAAAGATTCAAGAAATTGAAAATGCCATAATTAGTCTCAGTGGACTCTTTTAATCTGGATGAAGCGTTTTCATTGGGGTAAAACGTCTCATTACTCGTCCAAGTCTTCAGTCTCTGCCCTGATTTAGACTTTTGCGGTGAACCTTTGCGGTGAGCCTTCGACACAACCGACGCAAGTGGCCGATGTTGCTGGCATTTATGCTTGCGGAGGTGCATATGTGTTCATCATTATGTGGTTGTGTCCTGCCTTTTTATATGCATGCCAGTTGATAGAAACAAAATGCTGACTCTTTGTTGTGGTCATTTTTAGGAGGTGGCAAGCATACTTGTCCCCCAGGTTTTTCCACTTCTTTGGAAATTCCCTCAGAATCTTTCCAATAGGTTTAGCAATCTCCTTCCAGGAATTTTCAGAGATTTTAAGTCCTCATCTTAAGCTAATTCTCTCACTGATCTTTTTTTTTTTTTAATAACTGGAAAGGCACAGGAGGACTTAACGGTAATGATCCGACCAATCACAATATTTGTAGCCTGCATTGACTCAATGTGCAGTTACATTTCCTGGCAGGTTATGCATAACAACAGTGCAGTATATGCAGTATAGTTGCATAATGACCGAAACTGGCACCATTGCCTAACAATAGCCCAGAAGCTCAGTTTCGTTATTGTTCATTGTCATGACCTCTGAACAATGGACATGAGCACTTTTCACAGAAAGTTGCATTATAAGTATTATAAGTCTGTGAAAGATGGCAGCGGTTGTTCTTCTGTCCTGGATCACCTCTGACAAATGTCCAGGTGCAATAATTGCATTTACTCAGGGAATTCCCTGACTACAGTGGGGATAGTACTTCCTCTGTGTTGCAGATTCCTGACAGTCATGAACTTGTCGCATAGTGGTGCTAATTTTGGACATTTTGAAACGGGAAGAAACCTATTGTCAGCTGAGACTGAAGAAGTCAGTTGACTTAGTAATGAAGCATTTCTCCCACTGAAAACGCTGCATCTAGATGAACTGAGTCAACTTAATGGGATTTTCTTACTTGAATTCATGAGCACGTGTCAAGGCAGTAATAAGTAAGCTGAAAAAACATGATACATAGTGGGTTTGTTTATATTTGTTTTATTTGTCTTTGATTGATTACATTGCGATTGATGGTATCCTTGTTTCTTGTTATGTATCAAGGCATAAAAAATGCAAAGTAGAATGCACTTAAGAAATTTGTCTGGCAGCTATAAATAAAAGCCATACAATTATGAACTGCAGCTTATGTGGTTGTTTATTGAGGCCAGGGCTCTTGATTTGTGTTCATATGCAGCCAAAAGTGTGTGGTTTTACGACATGAAAGAGTGCAAGCCACAACCCTTCCCCTCTGCTTAACCTTGGACAATAAAACAATGATGTTATAACATTTTGTGAGGAAGTGAATATTGAGTCCCCCTGCCAACACTGGCAGCGTCAGCTCATTCTTGCCACGACAGCTGTTCTGAATAATACACAAATGCTAGGAGAACGTGTGCGAGTGATTGTTTTTCTGTATTTCTGGGTGTAAATGCAGGTTTCCAGGTGTGTGGGTAATACATAAAATGGGCCATTATCGCCCCTTAAGCCAGTATATGCATCAAACACATAAACCAACATTATCCTTAACAACAGATCAAGGGTAAACTTAATATACTTGTTTTGTGTCCACAGTGACAGGCTGTTTAGGGATCTCAGTGAAAAGAAAGAAACAACATCTGGGACTGGGAGTCTTTCTGGACAGCAGGCAGAACTACACTGTTTCCTATGTTAACTGTTGTTAGAGAGACCTCTCAACAGATTCTGCTGGCTCCACACGAGATATGTCCACCTCTGAATCAAACATCTCCACCCTCTTGATATTATAAGCGCAGCATTCAGAGTAAAAAGTCACTAGTAAATGAACAAAAAAAAGTATTTGGTTCCTGCTAAATCGGACTGAGTTGACCTTTTTGGCATCGAGGCACAGCTGCTCCATGTATCATCCTCCCTATTCCTCCCTTTAGTCTATCTTTGATCACCTAGGACCCCGATCCATTCAACAACCTGCTCTCCAGCTCCCAAAAGTCCCCACAGTGTGCTGTGGCAAGAGGCAGGAGTAGAACTGGACAAAGTGAACCCACGCGCACAGCACTAAATCACATTACACAGCAGTTGTGCCATGGGGACTTCCCGCTGTGCTTTTCATTTTGTTTAGCATAACAATGATGAAAACATACTATTGAAGAGTTGGTGTAAATGTCTGTGTGTGTGTGTGTGTGTTTTGCAGGACATTTGGAGAGCGCAAACTCGCTCAGGATTCATCCCTCCGGCAATCCAATCGTTCTTCATAAAGGCAATTTGTTAAACCTCACCTGCAGGTATGCAGTTGAAAGCACCTACTTTTGTTGGTTTCACTTGAAATGTAATCAAACATTTATGATGGTGGTGTATAACTCTTCTTAACCACTTTGCATTACAATACAACTTCATTTACTTTACCTTTGCTCTTCTAATTGCTGGACTTCAGACTCTGCGCTCACTATATGGCAGAAATTTTAAGGGAGAATTAGCAGGACGTCCCTGGTTCTGTGGACTCTTACTAGCTACAAAGAAGCTGGGACAGTCCCTAACCGGAACCAGCGATGGTGGTCCACGTTTATCAGTCTTCTGCCACTTCCTTTATGGAATTTAGAACCCAAGTGCATTCACATTTTCTAAGAATTTAGGGTATTGCATCATTTTTTAGGCCTCCAAAGAATGCTTAGGAACTCATGTTTGTTTAATGTAATGCTTCCTTACAAGGCCACATTGTAAGAAGCCTGATGCGTAGAGCACTGTCTTGTTTTTTGGATGTGGATGAGAACTAGAGGTTCTGCTTGACCCAAAATTCTGCAGGCAAAGGGAAAAGAATGTGAGAAATGCTAGATGTTCCTCTGGGATCTCTTTAATGAGCATTTTAAACTGAATTCTGCGTGGAAAGAATGTGTTAGTTAAGCACATCGTTGAAGAGAAACATGTTCCCATGTGAAAGTTCAAACTTTTGGATGACTCAAGATGAACTTGAAATAAACCTAAAATGGAAATGAAGCCCAAAAGTCCCCAGGGATAAGCTACTAAATTTAGTAGCTTTTGTGGTTACTGCCAGATGTGACACCTTCTCTAAAAATAGATCCACTTTTAATAGAATTAATGGTTTGCTTTTTCTAATACCATTTGCCTCGCCCGAGATCTAATCTCATTTAACATTCTCTCTCATTCTCAATAATGTCAGAGGTCACGGTGTCTTCAGCTGGACACTCGCCAAGCGGTCGATCTCATCGCAGGGAGTGAAGGTGGAGAAGTGTGATTCAAGACCTCACCGTCAGTCTCACTGCAGCAGACTGATAGTCACACACCTGATTGCCAGTGACACTGGGACTTACACCTGTAAATACACCAAGGATGGTTCAGACCAAATCAAATCCACCTATGTGTATGTAAAAGGTGAGAGCTAGAAACCGTTTTGGATGTATAATGCTCAAATTATGAGGTTCATAATTTAAGAAATTACCCAATGTTAGAAAAACGGAACTCTAAAACTGAAAATAGTTCTTACATTTTGAACCAAATGGTTTTTTTTTTCATTCAGAAATTTAAAATGTACGGAAGATTTGTGTTTAAAAAAAGATTTCAAAGGATGATTTGTATCTCCTGATGGCAGCTGTAGGATTTAATATTGAACTGATCTCACAGACGGTGATATTGACAGTATTGAAATGACAAAGAACAGTGTGGTATTTGCAAGACATAAGACACAAGACACATCCTTTATAGAAGGAAAAAAGAGTGAGTTAGGCAGCAGGATGTAAAGGACCATGGTGTTCAGGGTGTGCCCTACCTTTTTCACTATGTCAGCTCCAAAAGGCTTTATTTTTTTAATGACATGGGAAGAATGTGCAAAAAAGAAAGCAAGCAAGACCTGCTTACTAAAATCTGTAGTTCCAGTTCAACTGGAATCCTGACTGAGGTGCCACAGGTTTCCATCTGAGAGAAAAAAAAAGAGAAAGAAAGTGGTTTCTGTGGTGCCGTGGTCTCTCCTGGAGGTGAGAGGATAAGCTAATTGCTCGGGAAACCCTGGTCATTGACCATTTCCTGCTTCAGCTACTGTTTTCCTTGTAACAACGCTTCCCTAAACCTCACATGGCACTACATACACTTATATGACTGGATATTGTACTGGGCAGCAGAGAGTAAATTCCAATATCAGCCAATGTGACCAAAGTGGTTTTATATTTTGAAAAATGTTGGTATAAAGTTGCTTAATATTGGTCTACAACTATTATAAATTTAAAGCTAGCTTTAATTCTTCTTGTGCTTTTTAAATGACTTCCACAGTTTACCTTCTGTGTCCTATTTCAAAAATCCTCAGCTGTTTATTAATTTTTGTAACTTTTTCACACCACTAATGTTCGACCTTCCTTCAATCACAGACTATTTATGTAGCCACAGCGTTCCCACAGACTGACTGCCCTTATATGGCCAGAATTAACTAATCTGAGATTTGATCTCTTTTCTGGATCTCTGTTGAATACCCTGACACGCTCTTTTTCACTTGGTAAACCTTCTTTTCTTAGTGGGTCAAAGGTTCTGGAGCCTGTCTCAGCAGACGTAAGGGGTGGGGTACACCCCGGTTATGTTGCAAGTGAATCGCAGTGACAGAGAGCCAGAGACTGTGGGAGAAAACACATGCACTTCTAAAACAAAATATGCACAAACCACACTGGAGGATCACAGCCAGCTGGCAGCTATGAACCCACTATCCTCCTGCTGTGATGCAACAATGCTAACCACTGCACTTTTACATTAAGTTGGCTTATTTTACCAGAACAGGAATAATTTTACTAGACAACATGGTTTCCCCGAAAAACAACTTGTGATGTGTCACATTTAATTTGAAAAGGTGTTTCTGCCTGACTTGTGTTTGCCTGTATCACTCCTGTTCTAGCTGACCTGCATTGGCTACCCATAAAATACCGCATCCAATTTAAAATACTGCTGCTTACGTTTAAAATGACCAACAACACAGCACCGAGCTACCTTAAGGAACTCCTTAAATCGTATGTTCCTGCCAGAGCATTAAGATCATCTACTCAGTTACTCTTGGTGCAGTCTAGATCTCGGCTGAAGTCTAGAGGTGACCGGGCGTTTGCCCTGGCTGCACCAGAGTTGTGGAATAACCTTCCGATTGTGATCCGGGCGTCTGATTCCATCCAATCTTTTAAATCACGGTTAAAAACCTATTTGTTTAATCTTGCCTTTCCTGCTTGTTAATGCTCACACCTGACTTTTAGACATATTCTATTTTTTCTTATACATATTTTTATGGCTTGTGCTTTTATTATGTTTTTATTTTGATATGCATTTTATATTACCGCTGTGAATTAGTGGCATTGACCTGTGAGTATATTTGATACTTTGCTAAGGCCTTACAATACTCGTGTTACTTCTCTGTCTCTTATGTTAAGCACTTTGGTATACCGCTGGTTTTTAAATGTGCTCTATAAATAAAGATTGTTGTTGTTGTTGTTGTGTTTAAGATGTTGAATTCTTTTTTTCAGATCCCGACCAGCCATTTGTGGAGCCTGTTAAATATGATGTTCTTGGCATCTACAGGCATGAGACCAGCCTTGTTGTCCCGTGTCGGACATCCTCACCTGATATTGACGTAACACTGACAGGGGTAGGGTCTTAAGCACCATCATGCTTTAATAAATGCCTTCATAGTACTGCATATTATAGTAATACACAGTATTCTATAGACACTGCTTAACATGAACGTCCAGGAAACTCACACAGCACGTCTCCTGAGAGCAAGATTACTATTAATACCACAGCAGGGTATCCTTACCTGTTTTGAAAAAAATGTCCTTCCACTCCATGCGTAGGGCATCACAGTGGTTCTCACACCCTCTGTGTGTTAAATCACTCTAGCACACAGAAGCAGACCGGGGACAGTGGCTTAGCTATGGGAAGCTCAGGGGCGGCAAAGCGAGTCATCCTGTCTGCTTCCTCTAAGAGCAGGAAGGTGTTCCAAGAGTGCTTTTCTCAGAATAGATCATCAGGCTAAATTTAGTCTCTCTGCTCTTACAAACATCACGAAACAGCAGAAAAGTTGTGTCCAGTCTTAGAAAACAACAGGTAACAGCATAAGACTGTTTGATCTTAGTAGGCAGCGGTTGAGTACTCCCTTGTTTTCCAATGCACTTATCTATACAACTTAAGACCCTGTTAGTACTTGATGAAGTGCCTTTGTGGCCTTTTTGTGCCTTTTTGTGACGTTTTGTTTCATTGTTTGCGATTAATATATGACTATGTGTCATAGTGCCAACTGTGCATAATCACTTCTGACTCTAATGCCACAGATAGTACTGGTGTGACCTTCCTGTTATTAATAAATGCATGACACTCCTCCTTCCTCTTCACCTTCCTTCCTTCCTTCTCTTCCCTTGCCTCCAATCCCAGTCCTTCTTCTGGCATGAGAACAAACAGCAGCAGGCAAGGACATCCTTTCCAAATGTTATTTCCCTAATTGCATAAATTAATGCAGCAGTCACATTCACAGTGCTTGTTACTGGGAATACTGGTTAAGACGGCAGGATACATGACTGACAGTTCACTGCACTGTTACCAGTGCTATTAAGCAGGTGCAAAACATCACACAGACTTTGTTCCCTGGAGCTCTCATTAACACTGCTTAATGTCATATCTGATTGCACTGGACATTTACGTTCTTCTACATTCATCTCCTTCTGATAATGTCTAGAAAAGTTCAGGGCTGTCATGCATGTGTTAGAAAACAGCTTAACAGATGTGTCCCCAGCTGAGCCCGGTGGCGCATGAGTTACGTGTTAAATGAAGTCATGCAGCTTCCTCTTCAGTCAGTCTGGCTCAGTGACCTATAGTTGGCATCACAAGTGTCATCAAATGTATTCGTTTTGCCTTTTTCATTACAGGCGCCAAGTTTAACTGAGAAGATTACAAAGGAAATGGTGTGGGATCCAATGGTTGGGTTCAGGATCCCCTACGGTGCCAACGATTCATACAACATACTGACATGTCATGCCAAAGTCAACAGCCAAGTGTTCAAGTCAGAATACCTTCCTAGTAGACTGAGTGAGTCTGTTGTTTTCCTGGTGACATAATTGTTTTTAACTGTCTGATTGTTTAAGGTTTCATAACATTTCATTATGTTTGTTCCAATTTTACAGCTGATGTCCTTAAAAATGTGAGGATTACTCCAGATAACAACCGTGTTAAAATCTTGGCTGGAGACACCCTCATCCTCAACTGTAGTGGGGAGACCACCTATAATGGAAGAATCAACTTCACCTGGCATTTTCCAAAGGACAAAGTAAGTTAATGGTTTATCATTGACTGATTTACAATATTATGGGACAGCCTGCATAAGTAGCACTGGCATTTATGGTGCTTTCTTTGTCTTCAGGAAAAACGGCATAGTATAATCAAGTCCCTACTCAGACCTTCTAAGAACCTTATAATGAGTAACACTTTAGTGTTGCCAAACATTACCATGGAGGATAAGGGAATCTATCATTGCAAAGCTGAGCTGAATCCCAAAGTAAATGATACTGCCACGGCAAAAGTTGTTGTCTATGGTGAGAATGCTTTTAATGCTTTATTATTACAAGTGAAATTAAAATAATTTTAGCCTGTAAATTATCGTAATATCGGGGCGATCCTGTAAAGTAATAATGATAACCTTATTTAATCTATACTCTTTGGTTGCAGAGCATCCATTTCTTAACATTTCCTCTAAGAATGGACAGCATAGAACAGTCACTGAAGGTGTAAGGAAGATTGTGTTTGAACCCAGGGTCATCGCTTTGCCACCACCAGACATGATAGCATGGTAGGCAGTGGTTTCGAGCCACTATAAATAAACCTTTTGTTATGAGTGTTGGGCACCTCTATTATTGCATATGCACAATAAACAAACTTTTATGTGCCTCTAATATTCAGGTACAAGGATGGGGTTCCTATCATGAAGAATTCCACTTGTTACAAGATGTCTGATTTTAGCTTGGCCATCACTGATGTGCAGGAGAAGAATTCTGGCGTGTTCACCGTAAGCCTGGGCAACAGAGCGAAGGGGCTGTACAGGAATCTCAGCTACGTTCTGGAAGTCACAGGTAAGCCATTACCACAAACCTGATAATCGTCACTGATCCTGACGAAATGAAGCAGCGCCTTGGCTGTGGACTGAGGCTGCCCCCAGCACGTCTGCTGCTGCTGCTCTCAGTCTAGATCACTGGACGGCAGGTAGCAGCTCTAGTGTGAGAGGAATTTGGGAGCTTGTTGATTCCAGGGCTGGATTGACGTAGCAGGAGCAGCTGTTGTTGATTATTGGGGCTCTTTGAAAGGGGGCTTGGCGAAGTGTGTAAAAGTCCCAAGTTCTATTCTGCACACGGACTCCAGCTGCCCCAGACCCCTCCAATCCTTACACCCCGTGTGCATACAGTACGGCTCATATAACCAGCATGTTCTATACGTTATCCATTTAGCTGGAGAAAAATCAGCTTGCAATTCATTGTTATGACAACTCTTTTAATATACTGATAAGTGTCAACACTAGGATATAAATATTTTAGCATGTAGAGTAGATACATGAATGGATTTTGCTTGCTATAAAGAACAAAAAGGAGACTGTATATCCCTGACTTCACACTTAGCATGTGGAGGGAACAGCTATTTTTACTGCATTCTTTAAACATTTTTGAGGAATCCCAGTAGTGTGCCAAAAAGTGTAAAAATCAGGCCCCTCTAGCCTTTTATAAACTTTATTTATGATCCTTGACTGGCCCACTTCACAAAACTTTTATTTATTGGAATGAAATTTTTTTTTTACAAACACAACAAAGTGGAGAGAAAATCCTGGCACCAGTTAGAGAACTATTTTAAATCTTGTTCATATGTTGTTTACAGTCGTCAGGCGTGCATGAGCTGGAGCACTGAATGCAACACAACTATTTCTGTTGTCCAAAATGCAGACAGTGCTGAGATAAGTACATCTCCCGAGGTGGGAGAAGCATTTTTGTCTGTTGTTCATTGCAGCACAAACAGTTGACTCAGTGACCCAGGCATGGACTGCGGTGAGATTGTTCTTTGACCTAGAGCCCTGGGCTAGGCAGGCATCCCCCCACTCTTCTCGGCCCGCCTTTCATAGCTGCACATCAAGACTGTCTTTCTTTTTGAGACATTTTGAGATTCCACAGCAGGCGGGGCCGGTACGGTCGATTCTTTTAGCTAACCCAGTGGGACAGAGAGTGGGGCGTGGACAGCCAGGGTGAACATAAGGTGCAAAACTAAGCTGAATGAATACGATTCAGGAAAAATAATGAAAGGAGAAATTACTGATCCTATCATGGTGAATGCTGCTTCCCTAAAAAATATCTTGAATTCTTTTTTAATTTGCTCATAATTGATTTAAAAAAATGTGTAATGTGGGAGTGGGAGCTTTTTTTTGGCTTCTTAAAGGAGGCAAGCCTGACCTCTGGTCTAACATGTTGTCTTTCTCTCCATGTTTGTGCGTGTATGTGGTTACTGTGTACTTGTGTGTGTATGTAGTGAAGCCAAGTATTTCAGAGGCGGAGCTTGCTACTGTGGACGTGCAACCTTACATGTCGGGCAAACAGCATCACCTAACCTGCACTGCTTATGGCCTGCCGTTGCCAATCATCACTTGGCACTGGCAACCATTTCACTCAGAACCGAAGTTTAAAAAGTGAGTCACCCTCATGTTATGCTCTAAGCATTGAAATGTTTACCCTAGTCGTTCTGCTGTCACGGTCTGTCACGGTTCAGCAATACCATAAGAAATTCACAGCATTTCAACAGTGTAAGTAACTAATTTCAAGCAGGCCACTTAACCCAAGTCTAGGCTCAAAAACGATTCCATGCTTTGAATTGTTTGAATTGAATTGTGAAGTTACCAAATCATGAGCTCTATCTGTATACCAGTTTCAGTTTTAGTTTTCCAGAAAGTTACCGCCTGATGTTTCTCTCTGCATGAAAAACTGTCGCATTTTTTCAGCCTGAATAACTGTTGCGATGATGCAATTGAGTCCACCTGCTGTGGATATAATCTTCATGTAAAAAGTTCACAATTAATGATTAATTATATAATTTTTAGACACTTATGTTTTTGGAAATTTTAAGGACAAAATTGCTATTCCCACATCTGTTAAGCTGTTTCAAACTTGGGACAATTTTCTGGTCACATTAATAAACATATGACTAAATACTTTCTTGTTCATTCTGAACATCTGAAAGAAGATATTTCGCCTTTTTCTATCTCTCTTTTGTATGTTTAGTCTAAAATCTGTTTTTAAGTTGGTATTAAAAAGTCTTTTTTTTTTTTTGCCTGTCCCGTTTGGCTCTTTTGCCATCAGAATTATTGTCTAAAGGCGAAGAAAGATGCCCAACGGATTTACTTTACCAAATTGACCATCCCAGCTTTGCCGTAATGGTCCATTTGATTCACCTTTTATTGTTTATTTTATTTTCACTTGCTGAATACGGGACAGACTTGACTGGGGGAAAGAAAGAGGGAAAGAAAAACAGCTATTAAGCTATTAAAAAGTCTTTAACTAGTTTGTACCTTTAAACGGAAACTCCACAATACTGAATCAAAATCACCAACAGCAACACGCAGTGAAAAGATACCTTCGCAGGATTCAGAGCCACCAGTCCGACCCGGAGATCCCTCTATAAAGCAGACCTACTTTGATTCAATTGACTCTGTCCCAGAACGTGACCCATTAATCAAAGGAACAAAGCCGCGGAGAGCTGCCCTCTCATTAGTGGTCAGCGGTTCTGTAGGCTGAGAGGGAGACACGGGGGAGTTCAATCTCAGATTCCCCGAGTTATTGCAGTGCTGAAGAGAACTGAGAGCGCTGTATATGTGTGACTGTGCATGGATACCAGCCTGGCGGTGAACCCGTACGCAAAATGAACATTTGAACAGTCACTCAGATTGTGGTTTGGAGGGCCTGTGAACTGTAAGATCAGGAAAACAATGGGCCATTAGCTGCGTGTTATCAGTCTCCACATCCAGTGGCAAAGAAAACAATGCAGACTGAAAGCGACTAATTATGTTACATACTAGATGGTGTTAAACCACCAGTTTCCCATTGGTTTCTTCACTAAATTATCGCATAAAACCAGCTGCCGCTTACCAGATTCGTGATAAAATATTGCAGAGATTTAGTAAGGTCAAAGCAACTCTTTCTGCTGGGCCAAAGATAATCAGGGCTGGCACCAGGAACTGTGGCTGGGCTGGCTAATGAGACAGAGGAACAGCTATAGCCTGGTGGGAAGCCAATTGTGCAAAATGTTTGTTTTATAGTGCCCTGAGCCTGCAGAGTAGCTGTCACTGTAAATCCAACTTGCATCCCTTAATCTTTTGGGAGCAAAGGAAATGTCACTTTTGGGGAGGGTTTGAATTTGAGAGAAGCTTTTTAAGAAGGCAGAAATATAGGGTTGTCTTTATCACCAGGTTGAGAAGTTATCAGCTGTCCTTTGCTGACCACCAAGGTCTCAGGATCTGCCTTATCTCCTCTGGCCAGAACGTGGAGGGGTGTTCCTGTATGAGGTGACGCACAGCACAACCCTTCCTGTTGCTGCTGCTGTTTCCTTCAGTGCCTCTCCACTCATCAAACTAATTGTTCACCACCAGCGGGGCCTAAATCAAGGCTTTCTCTGCGTTTAAGAAGTAGGACACCCCATGCTAGAGAGTTCAGAGAACCCTCAGGAGAGGGCCTTCACAATGAGATAGCAGGGTATACATTATTATCGTGTGATCTGGACAGGGTGTGTTTTGATATTACACGAAAGTTCTCAAATACAATAACATAAAAGACTGTTACATTGTTTGTTGTTCAGAATGGTTGATTTTTATTGCATTTTCTCCTTCCTGTAGTGATTTGGAGCCAGTCTTTGTCAGAGTGGATGAAAGGAAAAATGATTCCTACAACTGGATTAAAAACATAAACACGAATTCTCAACTAGTTAAAGGAAAAAACAAGGTATGTAGATTAAAGTTATATGTAGTGTATGTTTTTAAACAATGGATGCACTTTATAATATGCATTTCCTCATGAATTGAGTCTAATAAATAGCTGTCGCCAGTATAAAGAACTGGAAGAGAGATGGTATGGAGAAAAGTGCGATAAGAGATGGGATTTGTTCCATCTCTTAACTTGGTTTTATTACACATTTAATGAGCCGCATCTGAAAAGAAAGGTTCGATATTTACAAGAAAAAAATAGCGGTAAAGACACTGCTTTACCTACACTGACTTTCCTCTTGTACAAAAGCTTTTGCTCTTTGAGGCCCGCAGTTTGGAAATGGTGCAACCACAACTGACAGACATAGTTAATTTCCCATTACTAAAGTGAAATACACCCCAGGTTTTCACAGTCTTTGTGGTAGATGTAAGCACATGAAACAGCTACACTATGAAGGCAGGCTTAGGTTTAGCTTTAAGGCAGACATATTAATTTAGAGAGATTTTATTTCCTAAAAAATCAACGCTTAAGGCATCAATAGTTAGATAGTTAGAAGATAAGAATCCCTTAGTTTTTCTTAAAGGACATCAAAGACGTATTGCCATGCAAACCCCAAACATCCCACACAGACTTTGGTTCAAATCTCCCGTGGAAGCTTAATGCTAAAATTGTTCATGCCTAACCTAACTGAGAACAGGCCTTCGCTGCCATGCCCCTTGTCTGTATAGGATTTGGTTCAAGAAATCCATTACAGCTGTTTTAGGGCAGGAGAAAGCATCGTTGACCTTTCTGAATCCATTCTTTGTTTTGAGCTGAATTTGTAGTCCATAAATTGCTGGTGCGCTCATTAATTGTGAAACAGGATAATTGCACGCATGTAAACGGATGTCGATGCCATGTAAATGCGAATGACTAAGTGACTGTTTACCATTACTAACTGTGAAATACATGACAACAAGAACCATCCAGTCATTTGCACACCACGTAACTGTAAATTTGGCCTTCTGTACAGGTCATCGATTTATATACGTGTCTGACAAAGATATAGAGGCACCTCTTATTTACAAGTACCCGTGGCCAGTCGCTGGTGCTTTATGAGGGTCAGGGCTAAGGTTCAATGATAACAAGCAGCAGTTTCAACGAAGAGGGATTTGGTGGAAGTAAATTCCTCTCTGTCACCTCATATAAATCGCTTTGGCCCGTGAATGAGAACATAGTCATGACTGGGCCTCCTCAGAAAGCCCAGCGAAAAAGGAGAGTCATAATATAAGGAAACACTAAGGGAAGACTCGGGCACAGAGGTCATAGTGTGTTCGGTCAGGTCACGTCTTCAGGACAGGCACAATCGTCTCAGTGACTGCTTTCAATCTCATGTTACATAATGGTAAGTAATAGGTGTAACATAATATCATAGGGTCACTCAGTGTTTTGACAAATGTTCTATCAGCAAGGTTTGGACGTTATGATACTTAATTTTGATGCCTGTATGTTTGTAAAGTGAACAGTTTAAGTAAAGGGACGCTGATGTGGTTTCGTAGCTGCAGCTGGGTCTCTCACAGCCAACACAATAGTTCCTACCAGCCCAGGACGTTTAGGCCAGCATACCCCAGCCCAGACAATGCACCCACATCATTCACTCTCTTTGATGTAGCCGACTGACCCCAAAAACAGATGTCCCCATGAACACTAAACAGAACCCCATGCAGTCTGGCCCTCACCCAAGTGTCTCACTTATTATTTTGTCTATTTAAGCCATTAAAATATTGTGCTAACCTTAAAATCGAGCATGGCATTGGAGGCGCTCTCCAGGAAATGGACATGGAGGCCCAGGTCTAGATCTATAGCACCAGTATGAAGGAGACTCTTTGGCCTTTATAACTCCAGCTGTATCCTTTCATTAATGTCAAGCACTGCAGACTATAAAGCACACCAGGCTGCGTCTAGACCTCCCACTTGTTTATTAAGAGCGACTCGGTGCTCTGATGGTGATTGAAACCTCTAGAATCGATCACACTGACAGCAGAGAGTGAATTATGATATCAAGCATTTGTTTCTCTTATTATTATATTTATTATGTTTTATCTGCTTTTAAGAATTAATCACAATCGCTTTATTGATTCCAATCAGACTGTGAGTACCCTGGTGATCGGAGATGCACGTGTTTCAGGACGATTTTACTGTAAGGCTGAGAACGACATTGGCAGCGCCTACATTACAGTGCCTTTCTATGTTGATGGTAAGTAGGTCACCAGAATACAACAAGTAAAATGTAATAAAAAAAACCCCAAAACATTATAATCACACAGCTGCATGCAGAAACACATTAGTTCAATTACAAAGCACACTATACCATGAGCTCTATGCTTTACAAATGATCTGTGTGCACATCGCACGCTGTAATGAACTGCAAGAACAGGAAAGGAATCCACAGATTGCATTGTGCAATAAAGAAACCAGAGGGGGGCATTAATTGAAAACATCTTCCACTGTAGTTGAACAGCTTCGGGGCAGAAGAGAGGCAAACAAGTCCTGAGCCATATGGAGTGCTGTAATGGCATGCATTTAAAAACATCATTGAATAACCGCATTCCTGCTCCTGCACCACCAGGTCATTGCTCTTTCTTCATGAGCCTGTGTGCGCAATAAGGATTTACTTTTTATATGCATGTGAGCAGTTCCAAATGTTCCCAAAATGAAAATCAACTGAGACAGTTATGTAATAACAGTGGGGATGAGGTGTCACCGTGCACAAGCAGAGCTCACTTTGCAATAAAGTGCATCACCTTTCCTAAAACGTTGCATGAATCACACGTCCTGAAGGGTGGAGGACTTCTTTTGGAGTGGATGCCAAGTAGCAAAAAATTATTCTCCCAGGGTGGGAGAATTCCCAAGAGGAATCCCACTCTCTTTCAAAGGTGAGGAAGGCCGGAGGATGATGGAATGCTGCTAAAAAAAGAGGACAGGATTGTAAAAACAGCTGTCTTCTCTTACGGAACAGAGAATGCTTTCCAGCAAACAGAATAAACAAGCGCATTCTGTATCCCCTGGGGCACATAGTCAGCCTCGCTCGAGTTGGATCACTGCAGAAGCACCATCAGCAGTGCTGTCTACTGGACAACATGCTTCTAATTAATAGTGATGAAACAGGAAATAACAGGGAATTTGACATTCTGGGTCTTCTGATAAGTACCTTTGTGTCAAAACTGTTGTCCTGATTAGTTTCTCTGGCAAGTTGGATAATTGCATGCATGTAAGGCAAGGCAAGGCAAGTTTATTTGTATAGCA